AACTTCCTAGTCAGACCGTGCTTTAGAAAATGAATCGCTCACCATCCCCTGCCTGCATCCAAACGCATGACGAAGGGATACGCGGTCAGTTCATTCATGGCCTCCCCTTGCAAGCCTTCGTTGGGAAAGAGCTCCTGGCGGAATAAGAAGCATAGGCTAGGGGGTGACACACATGTGATGTCACTTGCTACTCCGCACCACCATCGTCACGTCGCAATGATTGATTGAGCAAGCCGGCTGGCCGATGTGAGCCAAACTCTGAGAAAGCGCAAAGGATCAACATGGATAAACATGATAAAACCATTGATTGATTTAGCTTCTTGTTGCTAGTAGTAAGGCCCTTGCTCCTAGTAGCGATGCCCTTGTTCCTAGTAGCGATGCACTTGTTCCTACTAATCCATCAACAAAACTGGTTCAATCTCTGGTGCCCCGCATGGTTATAGACGTATTTCTTGAAGAACATGATCGGCTTCAGCTGCCCTGCAATTCTTGAATAGTTTGCAGACTCTTGTGACCTTTGTATCAAAGCACCCCCCTGTCATCCCAATTTCCCACATGGTGACCTCAAGAAAGGATGCCAGTGCGGAGAGCGTGGGGAACTTCGCCACGTAGCTCTGCTGCAGCCAGGGCCGCGGACGGCAGTCGAAGAGGTAAACGTCTTCCGCCCGGCCGTCGACCACGATGAGAACGCTCTCCTGCTCAAGCGGCAAATCTGCCGAGACGGCAACTATGCTCGTAGGACAACTTCGATACCTTTGCAGGACCCACTTCTCACAAACTTCCGAGACAGGACCTGTTTGATTTTTTTGAGCCGAACTGAACGGAAATAACGGAATAACATGTCCCATGGAGTCACAAAGGGGTGCCTAACTTGAAGGTTAGGGGTGCCCAACTACTCCACTCACTTATAGGGACCAAACACCACCCCGACATGTGACCCCTGGTCTTTGTGATTCCCTTTGTGTCTCCGTATCGGTTCCTCGGGCGGCTTGGCCAGCAGGGCGGCCACCGGTCCGGACGCGGCCAAGCGCGACAGCTCCAGGAGGATCCACTGGACCTCTCCGAGCAGCGTGGCGCCACAGTCCGGGCGGCTCGGTGGTAGCAGCGTCCATGTGGGGTGAACAGATAGGGTCACTGTAGTGACCCATGTTGCTGTTTGCAGAACAGGATGTTCGTTAAGACCTCTCGTCTTGGTTCACACGATATCGGGGATAATAAAAGATTGGACATCTTGAAATGGCTCTTGTGTAAAGATGTGTAAAGGCATGACCCCTCTATGAATATCTATGATGGCATCGCTAATGGCATCATTCCTTGGCGCTCGCCTCTACCAGCTTCTCCAACACTGGGATATACTGGGAGAAGCTAAGCCCTGATGATGCTAACTCCCACCAAATAGACTCATGGTCTTTGGCCACAGCCACAAGTGGCTCCAAACAAAAAACACACATTCTTCTCAATCTTTCTATCGCACACGCACCCCAACACCCACCTTTTGAACTCCACTTGGAGTCGATCTCCCACCACGATGTCCAACCTCCGAGCTTCCTCCCACCGCGTCCTTCGACCAAGCCCAGGTGCACTGGCGAGGCTCCCGGAGAGCGATGTCACAGGTCTCAAGGTCTCCAAGTTCTCGTGCCGCAGAAGCTCCGGCACCGTCCTCGAGGTCCAACAGCTTGGGCAGCTGGCGGCGGCCTGGAGGGCCAACAGCAGGTGGACGGTGTTTCAGGCATCTCGCTGAAGGAAGGAGCATCGTTCGCAGTTGAGATGTATCATATGATCATCATCAATCACCCCTTCCGCTGTGGACAGCAACCGGAAAACCACGAGGAAGCCCAAAACTCCGATCTTCACGACACATCAGCGGCATCATCAAAAAAACACACAGAGCGCAAGCACCCCCCACCGTGCCAAGCCCTGCCTTTTCAGCGCACTCATCGAGCAGCTCGCTAAAGCCAGGGGAGCGGAGCTGCTCGGGCTGCTGTAGCGCGGCCAGGAGGGCTGGTGCCACCTGCGATGAGGTGGCGGGATGTGGCAGCATAGTCTTAGAGTAGGAGGTTTCCACCTGGTAAGCTTGGGGGGGGAGCAAAGAACTCTGATGAGAATGGCAAGCAAAAGGGCCATTCCTGTATCAATCGCTTTGGCAACGACTTCAAAGCTGTAAAAAGTGCCTTTTTTGTGGTTTCTTTGGCATCATTGGCTTGTTCGAACCGAAGGGAAAAGCTACTCACATGATCTCACATATTAAATCCCAATGCCTTCTGTCGTGCTTTCACATTGAGGTGCTCCCCCTCTGTGGTTCCAAAAGGGGACACCCCCAGTCCAGCAGGGATCATCAACAGGTCAAGAAATCTCCCTTGAAGCAAATACCTTCCAAGAACTCACACAGAAACTGGTGGACCCCGGCAAAGGACTCATGGAAAATTCTCTGCCATACCCTTTCTGTTGTTGTATTTTTTGTGTGGGGGGTCGGGAAAAGGTAAGTATATATATATATGTAGAATCAACCACGATCCAAAGCGCAGGGTTAGCCGCGCAGTGCTTCCATTCCAATCATAACGATCTATGACATCGTCTGATCATGTCTGATCTATGTGTCCCTCGAGTCAGTGTGTATATCAATTGGGGTTTAGTGTTCATGCAAATTCGTAGACTCACAGACTAGATCGGAGTCACCAAAGAAACAATTAACATCAAACAACTATGTTGAAAGCTTGTGGCATCACGTGCCGTGCCATCTATCTGGGTTAAATCACTAGACACCCCCGACCCGCCACACCTTCAGACCAATCGCTGCTGCCGGCGTAGCACTGGACTCGCCTCCGTGCCACGGTCTGCCACCGGGGATGTTGGGTAAGAGGTTGCAGTGTCCAGCAACAGGACCCATTCGACCCTTTTGGGTATAACACTCGCTCATATTACAAAGCGGACAACAAGATACAAACGCAACGCCTCCACCCAGCCTGGCTCCTCTTCGACCCTCTTCCCCGTGGCCAGCAGTGAAGCCTGGCAGGCCACAAGGCGCTGGGGCGCCACAGATGGCCCACCGCACATGGCGAGGCTGGCGCCGCGGAGGCTCTCGCCGAACCCCCACCGTCTGCGCGCCCCGCCTGGTGACAAAGAAAGGCCACGGCAAAAACAAGGACTCTTGGAGTTTGACAATGGATGAGGTGTTGACCTACCCCATGGTACAGGATAAATTACACATGTTGTGGATAGAAAATATTGGACTACATAGTTTTATGTGGGAAGCATCCTCCAACTATTCAACTGCCACCATCCTTCATTCTCTCATGCACGGTTGATCTGAAGACATGGGCAAATTATGACAACTTAACATCATGCTTTTAAAGCTGGTCAAAAACCCAAAGAGCTCGCACTCTCCTCATTTCTGCTGCGCAACCCCACCACTCTTCACAGGTGAGACGCCTCTCATCAGATCTGATCTGCAGACTGCCTGGCCGGAGGTCTTCTCATCGAACAAGTGCTGAGTTTGGGGTGTTTAGCTTCGCCTGTCTGCCCAAAATGACCGTCAATGATGTCCGAGATTTCTGAATCCTGACCCAACTGGGCAGGTCTCAACGGTCCCGTCGCATCTGACGCACCTTTTTTGGCCCATCGAAAGGCGGACCCATTGGGCCGAGTCTCGAAGAAAGCATCCAACCTTCTCATCTCCCATCCAGTTCTAGCAACGATACTGCCATTTTTTGCACATGCTCTGCACCAGTTGTCTCTACCCCCTTTGAGTTGGACCCTGAACGAGGATCAACACTAGGATCAACATCATGCTGAACATTGTTGAAGCACAAGAACTTCTATTTTCAGTTGTGCATGGGGAAGCTTGGACAAAAGGTTGGTGCTATGGCATGCTATTGCATATGCTCAGGTCACATCTGGCCCACAACAGCGATTTAGCGTACAGATGCGTACAGTAATATCTCTCTCAATCATGGGCGCAACAAAACGTTCACCAGCCTGGCTCAGCTAGGAAACAGGAACAAACATTCCAACAGGCCATGACCTGAGTTGCCTGGGAGCTGCCCGAGCACATTGGCACGGCCACATCTGTAGTACAGTAGGAGGCACCGATCGCAGGTGTTGCACTGCAGGCAACCAACGCTCTCGCTACTGACCGATGTGACCGGCATGGTGCTGGCCTCCCCAGGCCCTAAAATGTTCTAAGGAATGCGGATCTCTAAAGGTGTGGGTTGAGCCTGATCCTGCTGTGAAGCTCCAGGGGAAGTCTCGAACATGCACAATTTGTCTGCCCAGCGTATTGCTCATACGTGTTCATGCTACCCCCTGGCCAATCACCACCTGCCTCGAACTAGCAGGTCATTCCCACATGCTATGCCATTTGGTCGAGTCTCGAAGAAAGCATCCAACCTTCTCATCTCCCATCCAGTTCTAGCAATGATACTGCCATTTTGTGCGCATGCTCTGCACCAGTTGTCTCTACCCCCTTTGAGTTGGACCCTGAACGAGGATCAACACTAGGATCAACATCATGCTGAACATTGTTGAAGCACAAGAACTTCTACTTTCGGTTGTGCATGGGGAAGCTTGGAGAAAAGGTTGGTGCTACGGCATGCTATTGCATAATATGCTCAGGTCACATCTGGCCCACAACAGCGATTTAGCGTACAGATGCGTACAGTAATATCTCTCTCAATCATGGGCGCAACAAAACGTTCACCAGCCTGGCTCAGCTAGGAAACAGGAACAAACATTCCAACTGGCCATGACCTGAGTTGCCTGGGAGCTGCCCGAGCACAGTGGCACGGCCACATCTGTAGTACAGTAGGAGGCACCGATCGCAGGTGTTGCACTGCAGGCAACCAACGCTCTCACTACTGACCGATGTGACCGGCATGGTGCTGGCCTCCCCAGGCCCTAAAATGTTCTAAGGAA